TTTTTGAGATAAGCATGGTGCATGAAGTGTCCTCTATAAAATAAGACTGCTCCCGGCTGCCCACGACCTTTCGTTGTACAGATACGAATTCTTCAACTGATGGTCATGGACAATCGACAAGTGAACTCAATGGGCAATTTCTGCATTCATAGTTGTTAATTGATGCTCTTCTTCGAATGAAATCGAGCAAAATCGATAAAGATGAGCTGATTTTGATGTGTCAGAAAGAATATAAAGACAACAAAGCCGAATTGAAGATTCTTCGTGAGGTTGAAAAAGATTATGTAGCTGATCAATCATTGTGGTGGTACACGCAAGAATCGTTCCTCTATCGTTTGATGAACAAAGCTCTTCGTGTACAGAACATTGATTTACTCTTTCTATTTCGATTTTTTATGCGTGACATTAGAAAACAACTCGAACAACATCGATGTTCCTCATCTGTTCGTCTTTATCATGATCAGTTGATCTCGAATGAAGAGTTACAAACGCCGAAAGATTCGATTGGACAACTCATTTCGGTGAATTCTTTTCTCTCGACCAGTATCAGCCGTCAATTAGCTCTTTCTTTTCTCGAATTATCGACGATCTCAGATGATTTACAGAGAGTATTATTTGAAATTGATGCTGATCCTCGACTGAGCGGTATCAAACAATTTGCAAACATCACTTCGTTTAGTTATTTTCCTGGTGAAGATAAAGTATTGATGATGTCAGGATCTATCTTTCGACTTGTCAACATTCATCGTGATGACGGTCGAGTTTGGATCATCCAAATGACTCTTTGTGACGATAATGATCACGATTTGAAGTAGATCTTTGGTTATTCGAAGGCACGACTCGAAGCCGGAGAAACAAGCTTATACTCTTTCGGTCAAATTCTTCGTGATATGGGTGAATTCGATGCGGCCGAAAAATACATTCATCGTTTTCTCAATCAATTGCCTCGAAATCACAGAGACTTTACTCTCTGTTGTCATGCGCTCGGTGTTATTACAGAGGAGAAAGGCGATTATGATTTGAGTCTACAGTGGCATCAGAAATCGTTGGAAATGTGGGTGGGAACATTGAAGTCGAACGATCCCACCTTGGGAGATGCTCATAATTGTATCGCTGTTGTCTATCGAAAAAAAGGCGAGTACAAACGGACACTTGACTCGTATGAAAAAGCCTTGATGATTTTTCAACAAACATTGAGTGATGATCATCTCAAAATCGCCATGTGTTTTAATAATATTGGTGTTGTCTATTACGAAGACAAGAAATATTTAAAAGCGCTAGAATATTATCAAAAGGCCTTAGTTGTATGGCAAAAGCATCTTCCTGCTAATCATTCTCACTTGGGAGCAGCATATAACAACATTGGCGAAGTTCATAGATATCTCGGTCAGTATGATTTGGCGCTAAAGGTTCATAAGGTTCATCTGTCGCTCGACATTTATCAAAAATTTCTTCCTCTTCAACATCCCGATACTGCCACAACATTCGCAAAGATTGATCTCGTTCACGAACAGAAAGGCGATATGAAACAAGCACTCATACTTTTAGACAAAGCAGCCGTTTATCTTTCGTCACGCATTGCCTCCGACCAATTCTGATGTGATTCGCATCCAACAAAATATTGAACGAGTCTTATCAAAACTGAAATAATGTTGTTCTCTTAATTTTCTTCAAATAAAAGCGCACAAAATCCGAGTAGTTTGCCTTAACTAAGAGGAGTTCGAGGATCTAGAAACTCTGAGAAATGTTGATGCAAAAAACGAACGTTACTGTTCTAATATTGTCATCCTAAGAACGAAAATTGACTCAACAGAGAATAATAATGAACAATTAAAGAACGCTATTGGTGATGGATATTGTATCAGCGGAGAATAGGATAATATCAGCAAGGAATCACAGAAGTCGCAAGTCACAAATTGGATATATTGGATATCGCAAGCGCTTGCACCTAAATGTGGGAGATCCGCGGAAACACACGGTGTTTTCAGGTGCTGACTCTTTCAATGCGCGTGTTGTGTTCCAAAGTCCTCAAAAGCGCGGTTACGTTCATCCTATAGTCCATCGTTGCCTACTTTCTACATTCAGTGTGCGCGCCCACGACGACTCCTAAAATGCGAACATCAGAGTTTTATCTATGCTGGAGTAGCTCAACAGACTCAGATTTATTGATAAAACAATATACTGAATGACCCAATCGAAATTAAGCAGACAAAGCTATTACATTTAAAGATTGTTCTAATGTGCTTTGTTCAACGTCGGTTTTCGATGATTTGCATAAGCATAGGGTGACACTCTTTCTTCATAATGAAGATGTGGCCCAGTTGATCTTCCCGTATTGCCACTTTTACCAATCTCTTGCCCTGCTTTTATCTGTTGACCAGGCTTGACTGATTTCTTGCTCAAATGACCATAGAGATGACGTACCTTATCTGAAGATTCAATTACAACGTGAATTCCATAGGCTGCACCCCAGTTAACATCTTTGACAGTTCCACTCGCAGCTGCAACTACACGTGTTCCAGTTGGACAAGCATAATCATCACCAGTATGATAGCCAGCTGCCCACGAGCCTTTTTTCCCAAACGGTGTAGTTACCGTTTTCCCAGGAACGGGAATATGTGCGTAGACTGCAGACTGCAAAAAAAGTGCGAATAAAAGAAAGATTTCGTACGACATTTTTTTTTCTTGATGTGAATGACTGGTATGAGTGTAAAGTAGAATATAACTTTGTTTTGTGTGTGGAAAGCAGAAAAAGAAGGATTATGAAATTTAATTAGTTTCTCTTTTTTTACGTGGGTTGTTTTGGGCATCCAAAGAGTATTAAAATGTGCGATGTTAGAGTTCAGGTTCGCACAGGGTGTAAATCTTAACAGAGTTAAAGATAAATACTGAGTCAGATTTTTAAAAACTGGTTTAGAATGTGACATACGTAGAAATTTTCTTGTGAGCTATGCCCGATAAACGTTAAAATTAGCATCGAATGGTGCATATTCGCTAAATTTCCAAGAAGTTCTTTCTATTTTGTGCATTTTTCGTAGGATTTTAAGTTCATACATTATTTTGTAGAAATGGCTTGAGTAGAATTATCGACAACCCCAAACTATTGTCCTAAATTTCTTTTTATGTTCCGTACTCTGGAAAAAATTACTCTAAAACCTATAAAGTTGATATTTCGAAGGGAACCGAATGATCTAGAGCCGAACTTCCAGTACTTAAATCAAAACTCGTCCACTATGAAGAGAACTGATAGATCTTTAGCTTATGAAGAATATGTGTTCTGAAAACAACTAGCAATAACTTAGTTTTCAAAGAAGTCTAAAAGCTAGAGATCATAAAATGAAATAGGATATTTTCAGCTGCTAAGGAGATGGCTCTCTGAAAAGGTTCCACTAGTGCTCAAAATATCGACCATAGATCAAAAAAAAATCTATTCTCATTTTTCTACAAAATATGCATCTAGCTACCTTGACAAAAAATTCAAGCACATTCGAAACCACGCTACATCAAAGATATTGTTTCACTAATCTTTTTGAAAATTGATTTTTTAGTTTCTTCTTCAAGACCACAAAGCTTAATTTCTTTCTCACTCTAAATACGCATAGTCCTTGCTTCTTCTTCGCACTTTTCTTTTTAATTTCGATTTCGCCATGCAGTGCGTTGTTTTATCAATAAATCTGAGTCTGTTGGGCTACCCCAGCATAGATAAAACTCTGATGTTCGCATTTTAGGAGTCGTCGTGGGCGCGCACACTGAATATAGAAAGTAGGCAACGATGGACTATAGGATGAACGTAACCGCGCTTTTGAGGACTTTGGAGCACAACACGCGCATTGAAAGAGTCAGCACTCGAAAACGCCGTGGGTTTCTGCGGTTCTCACACTCAGAAAGTTGAAAAGTCAATCAACGTGTATACATAATACACGTGTCTATGTCAAGTATAAAGAAATATATAGACTGAAATGGCATATAGGAACAAATTCACGTACACCTTTTTTTGAATTTTAAGTTCAGAATTTTTTCGTTTTCAACTGAGCTACGAATCTGAACTGTATCGTCTGTTCTTTTACCAAGTTTAGATGATAGAAACCGAAAACAATATGAAAGTATTTCGTTTATAATAAAACTTTTTAGACTAACTTGACTACACCATGACGATACAGTAAGCGAGTGTCGCGGTTCGAAACTCGTCAGCGCTTAATTATTATTATTTTCTCCTTTATTCCGCTACAAATTTTATTTTTATTTTTTTTGCTGGAGTGTCGGCCATACGTCGAAGCCAAACTAGTGCCGATCCACTCAGTCGACCATGGGCTACAAAACCCCACTAGTCTCAAGTTGGCAACACCTCAAGAAAAAATCACCTATGTGTTGATATGTTTATATTTTTTCTCACTCAAACTCAATTAAAAACCGTTTTTTTTCAATGTTCTTTGAAATTCAGACAGTTGCACTTAGAAAAACAATTAAATCGCCAGCGCATCAGGAGCATGCACAAATAATGCTCGACATTTTTTCCATTTCTTTTGCATCCTATAATAGTACAAAAAATGTGCTGTGTTTCTGTTGGCGGTTTTGTTCTGTACTGCATACGACAGCGATTTCTTTTTCTTTTCCTTTCGCTCAAAATTACTCAATCACTTATCGTATACTGTTTATAAAGTGTAAAATTGCTTACGATTACAGTGGCTAGCTATGCTTGTCAGTTCCTTCGTAGTACATTGGTCGTATTCTAATCTGTCACATTAGCGCAGTGGGGTTCAAGTCCCCACCGAAAAAATACTGACAGCGCGACCTAGCTATTTTTATCCGTCAGTTTTATGTAGACTTGTTCTTGTGGACAGTGTAGATCTAAAAATACATACGAATTCCAAGAAGGAAACTATTGTAAAACTTGCTTAAATCACGAGAAAGTGGCCACTTGTGACCGAAAAAACTTAACTTAAAAGTTTCGATAACCCGCGTGCAGATCCGGGTTGTCTGACCCCGAAAACCTTTAATCAAGTTTTATGAAAAATCATTATGTTCCTAAACAGGCCTTCGCTGACCGAAAACTCACACTTGCAAGACTTTCATCATTCGTCACCCGGTAACGTAAGTTTATAATAACAGTAACCGACCACACCTATCTTCAACTTATTTGATGGGGCAAGGTTCTGCAATATTTTGATATATTGCAGCATTAGTGGCATATATGCTACTAATGCTGCAATACATTTTCTAGTTTAGCATCATGATGATGGTAAACTAGAAAATGAACGAAAAAATTCAAAGTATCGTACTTCACTTTACTTTACTTTTTCAAAGTAAAATAAAAAATAAAGACGAAGTGCCACCCCTAAGTCTTTTTCTTAATACTAAATATAGACTTTGTGATGGTATTGATAGAAGATCCGTTTCGGCTAATCAAACCTATAGCCGGGAACTCAAGAACGATTCGAGAAGCTGCTGGTTGATATTGAGGGTAATCGAATATTCATATTGCTGTGGATAACGAACCTTATAGTAAGTTGAAGCAAAAAACAGGTCAAAATCTACATCACGCTCTTTAGGTGCAACTGCTGCTGGTGGCAAGACAGACGAGGCAGAATTTCAGTCAGAATCTGAACAGAGGCGGTGCCTATTTTTTTCGGACCTTTTAGAGTAATGATCGACAATAAAGAAAAAATCTACTTTTCTTCGATTCAGGGTTAATCGAAACATCATATTGATGCTTTAATTCTATTGACAGGTGTCAAATATAATTTGAAATCATGACTGTAACTATTCCGTATACCATATAGCAATGGCAAAAAAAAAATGTGTAAGTTAAGTGTGTTGAATTACTTGACAAAGTTCTGTTGGTTGTTCCAACTTCGATCAATCACCGATCGACGAATACTTGATTCGAAAAAGAGTATTTCAATTTCTTTTTTGTCCGTTCAGCTGCAGCTTTGATTTAGAAGTTTAAAAATATAACCTCGCCTCACCCCCATAATGGAAGACCACATGGGGGCATTGAAAACTGCCAAGGCATCCAGGGCATTGAAAACTGCCAAGTTAACTGCCAGCTTACTCCCGGGTAACTGCCAGCTTACTCCCGGTTACTTGCCAGTTGACAGGCAGTTTACTGGCCGTTCTTAGACCGTTCAGACAGTTTTTAGGTGGTTTTTTGATGATTCGGATGGTATGATTTTACCACCATAAATAGGTGGTTTTTCAAGTGCCTAAAACCTGCCAGTAAACTGCGTTCTCATATATCAAATTTTCATGAGAAGCTTGAGCGTTAAAAGACGGTTTACTGGCTGTAAATCGGCAGTTTTCAGACAGTTCTAACTGCCAATTTATGACTACGTAAAATAGACGGTTTTTAGGCAGTTAACTGTCTGTAAATGCTCAAGCATGAATTCGTAAACGAAAAAATCTAGATACACTTGCTGGGGNGTTTTACTCGATTACACGATGCAATATCCGATGCATCTAGTAAGAAATTATGGTTGATAGAAACCAATAAGAACTAGTTACATCTAGCGATTAAGCGTACGGTTCGTCTCGCTGTTTAAAACAAAGAATCACTAGATATAAAAAGCGTTATAATTAGTTGTAAATCGAGGTGAAGAAAAAGGAAGAAAGAAACACAGCTCGTGCAGAGATTCGAACTCTGTACCTAGAGATCAGTAGTCTTCTATATACGCCATTGTACCACACGAGCTTACACAAACAGATATACATTTTTCATTCTCTTCTTGTTATTATGGATAGAAATAACACTAAATTTAAAATAACTAATTAACAATAATAAGCGTTTCTCACCATGATGGAAGCATTTATCAGACTTGAGTCTGAAACATGAAATGCTGGAAATTTAATTTCTTAAAATTTTTCTACTGGTGTTGGGTCTCTAAAAGTTGGTCTTCAGACTAAAAAATGGTGTTTTGTGCTTTTTATCTTGAAGATCTAGTTGTACAAAGCTAAGCCTGGCAGATAAAATTTAGAAAACTAAATTTGCTACACATTCTGTTCCAAACTCAAACTTGAGAAGTACTTTGTTCGTGGTGGGAAACTGAAAATTAGCTTTTAAAAAGTGGTTTTCCCGAATTTTCACTGTGAAGAAGATGTTTTCCAAACTTGAGCCTAGAAGATGAGCTTGAGACAACTTGAGCTTCACGGTACAAAATGGTAACTACTGTTTCTCCTCATTTAGAACAAGGTGATTTCTCACTAGTTGCATCTAGCTGGAAATCGCCTTACACTAGATGCATCCCTCGATTTTAACGATAGGATGGAATGGAATTGACTTAAACCGGTGTTCAAGCAGATGAATCGATCGATATATCCCACGATGCATCGCCCAATACATTGTACGATGTATCGGCAGCTTTATCGGGCGATTTCACGCGTGTCTCATCTGCAACCGATATACAACTAGATTCATGTTCCGATATATTGCCCGATGAATCGGGTTAAAATCGCTACTAGATACATAACTAGATACATCTAGAAAAGAATCGGCTGTATCTAGATGTATTGACCGATAACCCAATTCAACTTTTTCTCTTTTCTACGCATCTAGATGTATCGCGTTTTGTATCTAGTATATCTAGCTGCATCGTGCGATACTCGATACATTTTTCATGCTTGGGTGGTTTAAAATCGACCAGTAAACCGTCAATAGAAAGGAAAGAAAAAAAGAGTAGTAA